CTCTGGATGAGCTTAACCCCCTGTCTCTTCGTGAAGCTCTGGATGAGCTTAACCCCCTGTCTCCTCGTGAAAGCTCTGGATGAGCTTAACCCCCTGTCTCCTCGTGAAAGCTCTGGATGAGCTTAACCCCCTGTCTCCTCGTGAAGGCTCTGGATGAGCTTAACCCCCTGTCTCCTCGTGAAGGCTCTGGATGAGCTTAACCACCTGTCTCCTCGTGAAGGCTCTGGATGAGCTTAACCCCCTGTCTCCTCGTGAAAGCTCTGGATGAGCTTAACCACCTGTCTCCTCGTGAAAGCTCTGGATGAGCTTAACCCCCTGTCTCCTCGTGAAGGCTCTGGATGAGCTTAACCACCTGTCTCCTCGTGAAGGCTCTGGATGAGCTTAACCCCCTGTCTCCTCGTGATGGCTCTGGATGAGCTTAACCCCCTGTCTCCTCGTGAAGGCTCTGGATGAGCTTAACCACCTGTCTCCTCGTGAAAGCTCTGGATGAGCTTAACCACCTGTCTCCTCGTGAAAGCTCTGGATGAGCTTAACCACCTGTCTCCTCGTGAAAGCTCTGGATGAGCTTAACCCCCTGTCTCCTCGTGAAGGCTCTGGATGAGCTTAACCCCCTGTCTCCTCGTGAAAGCTCTGGATGAGCTTAACCCCCTGTCTCCTCGTGAAAGCTCTGGATGAGCTTAACCCCCTGTCTCTTCGTGAAAGCTCTGGATGAGCTTAACCACCTGTCTCCTCGTGAAGGCTCTGGATGAGCTTAACCCCCTGTCTCCTCGTGAAAGCTCTGGATGAGCTTAACCACCTGTCTCTTCGTGAAAGCTCTGGATGAGCTTAACCACCTGTCTTCTCGTGAAAGCTCTGGATGAGCTTAACCCCCTGTCTCCTCGTGAAAGCTCTGGATGAGCTTAACCCCCTGTCTCCTCGTGAAAGCTCTGGATGAGCTTAACCCCCTGTCTCCTCGTGAAAGCTCTGGATGAGCTTAACCACCTGTCTCTTCGTGAAAGCTCTGGATGAGCTTAACCCCCTGTCTCCTCGTGAAAGCTCTGGATGAGCTTAACCCCCTGTCTCCTCGTGAAAGCTCTGGATGAGCTTAACCCCCTGTCTCCTCGTGAAAGCTCTGGATGAGCTTAACCACCTGTCTCTTCGTGAAAGCTCTGGATGAGCTTAACCACCTGTCTCCTCGTGAAAGCTCTGGATGAGCTTAACCCCCTGTCTCCTCGTGAAAGCTCTGGATGAGCTTAACCCCCTGTCTCCTCGTGAAGGCTCTGGATGAGCTTAACCCCCTGTCTCCTCGTGAAAGCTCTGGATGAGCTTAACCCCCTGTCTCCTCGTGAAAGCTCTGGATGAGCTTAACCCCCTGTCTCCTCGTGAAAGCTCTGGATGAGCTTAACCCCCTGTCTCCTCGTGAAGGCTCTGGATGAGCTTAACCACCTGTCTCTTCGTGAAAGCTCTGGATGAGCTTAACCACCTGTCTCCTCGTGAAAGCTCTGGATGAGCTTAACCACCTGTCTCCTCGTGAAGGCTCTGGATGAGCTTAACCCCCTGTCTCCTCGTGAAGGCTCTGGATGAGCTTAACCCCCTGTCTCCTCGTGAAAGCTCTGGATGAGCTTAACCCCCTGTCTCTTCGTGAAGCTCTGGATGAGCTTAACCCCCTGTCTCCTCGTGAAAGCTCTGGATGAGCTTAACCCCCTGTCTCCTCGTGAAGGCTCTGGATGAGCTTAACCACCTGTCTCCTCGTGAAGGCTCTGGATGAGCTTAACCCCCTGTCTCCTCGTGAAAGCTCTGGATGAGCTTAACCACCTGTCTCCTCGTGAAAGCTCTGGATGAGCTTAACCCCCTGTCTCCTCGTGAAGGCTCTGGATGAGCTTAACCACCTGTCTCCTCGTGAAGGCTCTGGATGAGCTTAACCACCTGTCTCCTCGTGAAGGCTCTGGATGAGCTTAACCCCCTGTCTCCTCGTGAAGGCTCTGGATGAGCTTAACCACCTGTCTCCTCGTGAAGGCCCTGGATGAGCTTAACCACCTGTCTCCTCGTGAAGGCTCTGGATGAGCTTAACCCCCTGTCTCCTCGTGAAGGCTCTGGATGAGCTTAACCCCCTGTCTCCTCGTGAAGACTCTGGATGAGCTTAACCCCCTGTCTCCTCGTGAAGGCTCTGGATGAGCTTAACCACCTGTCTCCTCGTGAAAGCTCTGGATGAGCTTAACCACCTGTCTCCTCGTGAAAGCTCTGGATGAGCTTAACCACCTGTCTCCTCGTGAAAGCTCTGGATGAGCTTAACCCCCTGTCTCCTCGTGAAGGCTCTGGATGAGCTTAACCCCCTGTCTCCTCGTGAAAGCTCTGGATGAGCTTAACCCCCTGTCTCCTCGTGAAAGCTCTGGATGAGCTTAACCCCCTGTCTCCTCGTGAAAGCTCTGGATGAGCTTAACCCCCTGTCTCCTCGTGAAAGCTCTGGATGAGCTTAACCCCCTGTCTCTTCGTGAAAGCTCTGGATGAGCTTAACCACCTGTCTCCTCGTGAAAGCTCTGGATGAGCTTAACCACCTGTCTCTTCGTGAAAGCTCTGGATGAGCTTAACCACCTGTCTTCTCGTGAAAGCTCTGGATGAGCTTAACCCCCTGTCTCCTCGTGAAAGCTCTGGATGAGCTTAACCACCTGTCTCCTCGTGAAAGCTCTGGATGAGCTTAACCCCCTGTCTCCTCGTGAAAGCTCTGGATGAGCTTAACCCCCTGTCTCCTCGTGAAAGCTCTGGATGAGCTTAACCCCCTGTCTCCTCGTGAAAGCTCTGGATGAGCTTAACCACCTGTCTCTTCGTGAAAGCTCTGGATGAGCTTAACCCCCTGTCTCCTCGTGAAAGCTCTGGATGAGCTTAACCCCCTGTCTCCTCGTGAAAGCTCTGGATGAGCTTAACCCCCTGTCTCCTCGTGAAAGCTCTGGATGAGCTTAACCACCTGTCTCTTCGTGAAAGCTCTGGATGAGCTTAACCCCCTGTCTCCTCGTGAAAGCTCTGGATGAGCTTAACCACATGTCTCCTCGTGAAAGCTCTGGATGAGCTTAACCCCCTGTCTCCTCGTGAAAGCTCTGGATGAGCTTAACCCCCTGTCTCCTCGTGAAGGCTCTGGATGAGCTTAACCCCCTGTCTCCTCGTGAAAGCTCTGGATGAGCTTAACCCCCTGTCTCCTCGTGAAAGCTCTGGATGAGCTTAACCCCCTGTCTCCTCGTGAAAGCTCTGGATTCGCTTAACCACCTGTCTCTTCGTGAAAGCTCTGGATGAGCTTAACCACCTGTCTCCTCGTGAAAGCTCTGGATGAGCTTAACCAGCTGTCTCTTCGTGAAAGCTCTGGATGAGCTTAACCACCTGTCTCCTCGTGAAAGCTCTGGATGAGCTTAACCCCCTGTCTCCTCGTGAAAGCTCTGGATGAGCTTAACCCCCTGTCTCCTCGTGAAGGCTCTGGATGAGCTTAACCCCCTGTCTCCTCGTGAAGGCTCTGGATGAGCTTAACCACCTGTCTCCTCGTGAAAGCTCTGGATGAGCTTAACCCCCTGTCTCCTCGTGAAAGCTCTGCATGAGCTTAACCCCCTGTCTCCTCGTGAAAGCTCTGGATGAGCTTAACCCCCTGTCTCCTCGTGAAAGCTCTGGATGAGCTTAACCACCTGTCTCTTCGTGAAAGCTCTGGATGAGCTTAACCACCTGTCTCCTCGTGAAAGCTCTGGATGAGCTTAACCCCCTGTCTCCTCGTGAAAGCTCTGGATGAGCTTAACCCCCTGTCTCCTCGTGAAGGCTCTGGATGAGCTTAACCACCTGTCTCCTCGTGAAGGCTCTGGATGAGCTTAACCACCTGTCTCCTCGTGAAAGCTCTGGATGAGCTTAACCCCCTGTCTCCTCGTGAAAGCTCTGGATGAGCTTAACCCCCTGTCTCCTCGTGAAAGCTCTGGATGAGCTTAACCCCCTGTCTCCTCGTGAAAGCTCTGGATGAGCTTAACCCCCTGTCTCCTCGTGAAGGCTCTGGATGAGCTTAACCACCTGTCTCCTCGTGAAAGCTCTGGATGAGCTTAACCAGCTGTCTCTTCGTGAAAGCTCTGGATGAGCTTAACCACCTGTCTCCTCGTGAAAGCTCTGGATGAGCTTAACCCCCTGTCTCCTCGTGAAAGCTCTGGATGAGCTTAACCACCTGTCTCCTTGTGAAAGCTCTGGATGAGCTTAACCCCCTGTCTCCTCGTGAAAGCTCTGGATGAGCTTAACCACCTGTCTCCTCGTGAAAGCTCTGGATGAGCTTAACCCCCTGTCTCCTCGTAAAGGCTCTGGATGAGCTTAACCTCCTGTTTCCCTGTGAAGCTCTGGAAGAACTGTCTCTCTGGCAACCTGTCTCTGGCCTGCAGCTCTGGGAGAGTTGCATCATAGGAAGCCAGTCCCAAGCCTGATGCTCAAGGAAAGCTAACCTGCTAATCTGCCCTGGTGAGCCAACCCAAGAGGTCTACGTGGATGCTACCTGTCGACTCCCCTGTGGAGTTTCCCTAAGAGGTTCCCATGTGGATTTCCCCTGTTGTTTCCCTGCAGTGAGCTGGAAGCTCAAATCTAGCCATCTCCCTTTCCCTGCACAGACCCCAGCGAATCAGTCCCCTGCCTGAACTGTTATTCTCGTGCTTGTGCCTTAAAATAAACTCTTTGGACTTTTTACCAGTGCCTCTGTGTGTGTTCTGCATCTTGGGCTTTACTCTAAGAGAACCCATCATGACAGGGCTAGACCACCAGGGTTACACAACAGCAGCTGATTTAATTTATGCTTTTTCAGGTGTTTCAAAATAATTTTTTGGGATTTCGGTGAAGCCAGTTAACAAAAGTATGTTAAAGATATGTTTTGGTCAGTGTTAAAGTCAAGAATATACTGGTAATGATTTGGGTTGGCCACATAATGTGCTTCTGAGCTGAATAGCATCTTAATATGGTTAACATGGTGCGTATGCGTCAGTTGCTGTGTGTGTAATCAGTGACAGACGATTCAAACCCACCAGAATGTGACCAGCGAAACAAAGGAGGAGGATCAAAGCCAACAGCAGGAATGTCAGACCAAAGGAGATCCCCAGCACAGCAGTTCTGCAACACAAACACACTCAGCAGATCCATCCATAACAATGGTAACTATTCTGCTGTTCTGCCTCAGAGCTGCAATCTATTTCTACTAATGGGACATAAAAGGAGATTTTAGGGAAGTCTTTTAACATATACATTTTTCTAAAGCAAACATAGAGCATTGTTAACATTAAATATGGCCCCCATGAAGCAGGTGAGGTAATGTCTCCATGTGCAGAGCAATGTAGCAAGAAGCAGGATGGGAGAGAAGTAAAAAAGAGAAAATCAATGCCCTCTCAGGAGCAGAATTACACCTTCGGCTCAGAGAAGCGGTAAATTAGCATGACTACGAATTTCTCTCCTCGCTGTTAAATTGACGCCACTCTTTGATCCACCTGATCTCTAATCACCAGCAGACACGGTGCTCTTTGATCTCGATCAGCTTTTTAAACATTCTGCCTCTTGCTCCACTGCAGCTTTCAGTTCGGCCAGGTCCTGCCATGAGACAGCTGGCATCAAATAGCTTTTATTACGCATCAGCATGCCCCTGCAGCTGGAAGTGGCTGATGCTGCTGGTGAAGTGTGCTGTGCAACTCAAGAGAAAGGGCTGAAGACTCACTTGGGCAAGACGAGCACCTGCACAATGAATATGCAGCAGAATATGAGGCAGGCACAGGTGACGTAGTACTTGAAGGCTGGTAGTGTGGTGGATCTGTACTGTAGAGAGAAGAGAAATACAGTGAAGCAGAAAACTGACCGAAATGTTAAAAAAGGATCACTTAAACATTTCAACCACAGACTAAACACTTTATTGGGATTTTACATGTTGGACCAACTTAGCAACCAAAGTCATCCATTGCTATTAAGGAAGTGTTGGAATAAATTAGTAAATCTTTTGTAATCTAATAATCCAGCTGTTTTGTGAAGGCTCTTAAATTTGTAGGAAAACATCAGAAAACAAACGCAACACTAAGATGAGGGAACATGACAGAGCAGTCAGGAAGAAATAAGTTTAAATGTTCTATATCAGCTTTTCACGGATATAGAACAATCACAATTCAACTATTGTATATGATGAAAAATCACCTTTGGAACTATGGAGCATTTATTTGTAATCAAATATTAGCCGTTTTCTGGTGCTGCTTCTAAACCCAGAGGAAAGACACTTCCTTCTGGGTCGTCCTAGAGCTGCTGCACCATTGCTACATACAACCCCCACCCCCTTTGCCTAATGATTAACATTGCTGTTACTGTGTAGATTAGGTGCCAAAAGGTGCTAATCTCAACTTTTAGCAGAAATGGCCACGCTCTGTTAAACATCAGAAAATGTTGGCATGTTGTTTGCTAAGCAGGCGCAGCTCGGTCAGGGTAGGCGCTTTGTGAATGGGCAATAATCACTACTACCTGTTACCCAGTCAGAGCATGTGAACAGTGTCACTACCCGATCCGTCCCAGAAGCACGATCCGCTCTGTGCAAGCGCCATCAGCTCATTTGCTCATTTGCATACATCCGGATCGTCCTCAATCTTATTTTGTTAAAATACCTGAATGATGTTTTCCTCCCCAAAACGTACTAAATTATAATGTGTTAAAGGTCAATAATGTATTTCCTGAGAAAATAAATTCCTTTAAAATCCTTTCTGTCTCTGCCCGATCTGCAACAGAAATGGGATCCTGCACTACTTCTGGTGGCCAACTTTTTCAGCTTTGGATTTAAACATAAATTTAGTCTCTTTGATTTTTATGTTTTTGTTTCGTTTTAACCTTATGCTATAAAGTGCATAATCTAAAGAAAGAAACAACTAAAATGCAGATAAACATGGTTTAATTTTATGTTGCCGGACTGCTCTGAGCATGTTTGATGATGACGTCAGAGAAGCAGTTTAACGAAGAAAATGTAAAAAGCATAAAAATTGACTCACAACAGTCATAAATGTTTTTTTTTTTTTTTTAAATGTGTATTAGTATTCTTTAGGGAGTTAAGGATTTTTAGTAGTTTTAGTACCATGATTACATTATTTATGGACACCTGGATGTATATCTATTCACACATGCGCAGAACGGATCGTGCTTCAGGGACGGATCGGGCAAACAGAGCGGAGCGCCGTGCAATTCTCGCTCCCCGTTGAGGAGGATGTTCGTTCATTCGCTCCTCCGCTCAAAGTTGCGCCAGGACACTCCAGTCAAAATCCACTCCGCGCTCACCTTAATTTTCCTGTAGCTCTGGCGAACGCGCTCCACGCTCGCTCAGTTTTTCAGGAGAAGGCATTTTCTGACATTTTTCGTTCATATAATTATGCCAAGACCCTGAGACACACAGTGTATCGTCTCATTTAACTGGCTGTTAAATTATTGCACTGTGTCCCAGCTGTGAAGGTAACACCTTGCTCCATTCATATTGCCCCGCCTTTCCTATTTAATTATTAATTGTCGAATAAAATCACACTTAAACCAAATAAGTTATATTTTAAATATTTTATAATCAACATTTTTTAATGACATTGTGAGCGCATCGGAGCTAACTGGAGCAAAATCCTCGCTCCGGCCTTTGAATTGAAAACCGCTCACATGCTCTGTACCCTGGACAGGGAGTGGCTGCTGCTCAGGTAGAGGAATTTAAAAGGTTTTTTTTCAGACATGCAGGAATGAAGTGAAACACCACTTTGTAAACAACGTTTTTGAATGAATAGCATTAAGATTGTTAAAAGCTTGAAAAAGTAGATTTTTCACGACAAAGGCCCTTTAAAGCAATATTCTAAGTAAGGATGAGGGGGGGTGGGACTTCATTTTTTTTCTGTGTTCGCGTTCAATTGCAGACTTATGGCAATAGGGAATGTTTTCTCCCTCACTGTTTCTTAATGGGCTCCATACAAGGTACAGTTATGCTGCCTGCATTTATAATAAGCAATAGTTCAGGTTTAGTGGGCGTTATGAGGAGTTTGTGGAGGTAAACCCAGCTGTTAGTTGATTAATCACAGTGTACATCTGATTGCTTCTCCTTCCCAGGCTAATGTCTGTCAGACAGGCAGAACATCGCAGAATTAGTCAGCATCTTCAGGCTTCATGAGTGATTTTTAATCTTTTAACTTTAACTTCTTGAGATGCTAACTGTAGAATGCACTGTAAATTATTTGACATTTACATAATTATCTTTTCCTGTTATTTATAATTCTTCTAATTTTTCATTCTCCATGTTTAGAACTATATATTTCTTTTACTGCCACTGCCAAACAGCCAGTAGCTCATTCAGTAGGATGAAATCTGACTGGTTTTCAATGCCTTATCCATTATATGTGCCGACTTTGTAGATCACTGTCTACTTCATGCATTTTTTGTTAGCGCAAAAGCATTTCAGGTTTCCTTATTTAGGCCCTTTGTGTTGCTGAAAACTACATATGATTCCCACAGTGAAACATGGCAGTATTGAGCTTTTCTCACAGTTGTATAAAAGAAGAAAATTGTCTGTAGAAGGCTTAAAAGTGCAGCACTTTCTAACAGGACAACAACCCTGATCAGAAGATCATATACAATCTATATGAGGTGAAAGTCCAGACCTAAATCTGATAGATAATCCAATTTAAAATCAGCCTTTAGAACAGTGATTATGCTGATTCTGCAGATCTGACTCAAGGTGACAGATTTCAAATGTACACCCAACTTTTATGGTTTCTACTTAGAAACAAAATCAATTTTACAACTTTTACGGCCTCGTTTAACGGTCGTAACAGAAAGGGAGTCCCAGCATGTATGAAAATGTCAAAAATTTAATGTTTTTAAATCATACTGAGGTTAGAATCAAAAGGCTGAGGTTAAAAGAATAAGGTACTTTATGTTGTCCCAGCAGATAAAATCCCACAAACAATACATTTTATAGCTTTGTGAAAACTTTAGGTAGGCGGGGGGGAAAAAAAATAACTCAACTGTTTACAAGAACAAAATAACTTCAGGATAAAGTTTCAAAGTGCAGAAGGTTGATCGGAGAGTTTGACAAGCCTGCAGAGTCTTTGTGACAAATAGTTTATTTATTCTCTATTATGCCAATGATTTGTTTCCGCTGCGGATGAAGCTGTTTGCAGTTAGGTGCACTTTCGCCTACCTCTTTCTCCAAAGCTTTGTTGTGAAAGAACAATGAGATCCTCTGGATGTCTTCAGACTTCAGCCACTGTCTGGAAACACAATCGAAGCAGAGAGAGCAGAGGAAAAGTCATTCCTCCTGATACCCTGTTCACCAACAGAGACAGTGTAGGTGGTGAGGCTTTAGCCTTGGTTGCATCTAAGAAAGAATCTCCATGAACAACATTTTAAATGGGATTGTTATGTTTACTCATGCAGAGATGTAGTTTAGGCCCCTTTAGTGGATATAGGTTGATTTGTAGGACATAATTAATGCTTCATAGTCTATTTTTATATATATATTACATTTGTGTTTTTTAATTAACATCTTAACATGCGTTTTAGTTCTTTTTTTACATTTGCCTGAACATCTCTGCCTGAAAAACTTTTTAAAATGACTCTACAAACATGCACTGCAAAAAATTGAGATCTGAATAAGTAATATTTTCTTAAAATAAGTGCATTTTTTCTTTGAGGATGTAAGCGAGACACTGCCAATGGAACAAGACAATTTACTTTTAAAATAAGAGAAAGCAATTGCATTGTCTTATTTCAAGCGCATATTATCTAATAATCCTATTTTAAGAGCAAAAATACTCATTCCATTGGCAAATATCTTTTTATGATTAAATACACTTTATTTAAGACATTTTCACTTAATTCTAGACCATTTTTGCAGTGTGGAATTGATAACATAAAGAGTTCCTTCCTGTTCTGTAGCAAACCAACCTTTAGCTTCCTTTGCATACCAAGGCCTTATCATAGACAAACGTTCAAGTGTTACAGAGCAGCAGACAGTTAGCTTACTTCTGTGCATTGATGCCATCAATAGTGCGAATCATTCGTTCGTTGAGCTCCTCCTCAAACCTCTTCCTCTGAGATTTGGATCTTGGGTTTAAGGAAAAGAAGGACGCCATTAACGGCAGACAAAGATAAGAAATGCCAACAAATGTCAGTGAATTTCCTTGCGATTAAATGTTACCGATCAACATGGTGCAAAATCAAAGATGGGAATCATGAAAAGTGTGGTGTGCATTTTGTAATCCTCTCAATCTTTTGACGCATTTAGACTTTTTAGGTCTACCTTTTTTGCACATCTAGAGACATTTTTCACGTTCTGTGTTGCAAAATAGCTTTAAAACTTTCTACCACAAGAATAGGCTTTGGCATACACACCCATACTGTATGGCAGCTTTGGCAGCATTTTTCAGGGTAGTTGTCCTGATCAGAGATAAACTTTTAACCCTGTCTCAAGTATCGCAGCCTCTTCTTTCTTTGAAGATTTCCCTGTTTAAAAGTCCATCTGTCGCAACAAGATTCCATTCATTGGTAAATCAAAAATTCCCACTGCATAAGTCTACCACCACTATGCTAGACAATGGGGAGGTGGTCTTAATTCTAACCCACAGATTGCTATTTAAATTGTTCTGCAGAAGATTTAATGTTAATCTGGTCTGACATCCCTACCTCCTACCTAGGTTCTGCAAACACTACTTCTTATAACTTCATTTGAGCTTTAATTTTCTTCTGGTCCCCTTTTTATAGGCATTATTGTCCTGACAACTGAGTCTCCCACCTGAGGTTTATATCTCTCTACCTCTCCTAAAGAAACCATCGCCCTTTTGGCTGCTTTACTGTTGAATGATTCTGGAAAACAGTGGTGCCAGTTGAAGTATGAATTGTCCAAAGCTTGAAATGCTTTCAGTCCAGCTTTCTACTTCCCTATAACTTTATCTCTGACCTGTCAGCTTTCCAAAAGACCTCGCATAGGAACATGAGGCTCTCTCTAAGAGTGAGAGGAAGGTTGTACAGTAGGTGCCACAAGAAGGTACTTAATTTTACTGAGACGTCGGTAATCTAGAGTGGGATCCCCCCCAGTTATCCAGGTTGGCACCATAGGATTGGTGTGTATCGGGCAGAGTTAAATTACCTGTAGATAATGGGAAGGGTTTTGCAGTTCTATGGTAGTAGAACAAAAGGCAAGGTTCTGGGGAATTGTCAACTGCCCAAGGAGAAATTTTTGATCAAATGCTAACAGCTTTAAAGATAATTAGAAATGAAATACGGGAAAATTAGCTCAAACAAAGCCCTTTTCTTCTCCATAAAAAAAAAAGAAAAAAAAAAATCATCAAATAAATAAATGTAATCTAACAAAAACTTCCAACTGTTTTTAATATTCTTTTTTTGTTTCTGCATTTTTAATTTTATTTAATTTTTTTTTTTTTCCTACTTGCTTTGATTCCGTTTTATCTTCCTGTATTTTAATCATGTAAAACACTTTGCATTGTCTTTTTACTGAATTGTGCTATACAAATAAATTTGCCTTGCCTTTACCTTGCCTTGCCTTCATGGTAAAGTTTGATCTCTGAGGCCTTCCCCCAAAAGATCAATACACTAAGATAAAATTAGACTTCAATAGCATTAGAGCACAAGGTGAATACCAATGCACACATTAAGAAAAACAAACATATATTTACTTTCTTCCTCCTCACAATTATGTACTACTTTCAGTTGGATTATCCCATTTAGTCACAATAAACCCCATTTAAGTTACTGTTTGTATTGTCTGTAATCCAAATAGTGTGAATGCTTGTTGTATGTGACATGCAAAAGGAAAAATCTCTGCCTCACCTTTCTCGTCTTTGGAAATAGTACTGCCCCATCGGAACGTCCTGGAACAGGAAACATATTCAATGTCCGGCTGGTCTCTGCGTACCGGTGAGGTGAAGGCAAACAGGGCGAGACAGACACAGATCACCTACTGTGGTGTTGATCTTGCCATTGTCTGCGGTCATGCTGTCTCGATGGTGGAGGTTAGCGAAGGGTTTGGCTGCCCCCCAGGATTCCAGGTATCGGGTCATCCTGACAGATGCCCTCGTCTTCCCCCCATCCAGAGAGGGACAGGAACGCAGACCTAAATGCGGGCTGTGCCTTTCAGTCTGGGAAGGCCCACCGGCAAGAGAAAGAGAAAACCAGCAGGTGAAAACGCACTGATTTAGTGGGTGTAAAAGCGAGAAGGTCAATAAGCTCAGGGAGCTATAGCCGTTTGACAGATTTTGACACCTTTCACTTTTCTGTCAGGGTTTTTGAGCCACTTGAAATACTTTTAGCGACCAGTGACGCATTTATTTCGAGAGTGTTTTTCTACTAACAAAGAGAGCACCACTTGAGTTGACTCGGCGGGGGATCTGGGGGCACGTGAAGAGCCGTACCTCGCGGTGATCTGTTCTAATTGCTGGTGGAGACTATGAGCGCGATAGGACCAGAGGAAGAAAACACGTTCTGCACGCTTTCCAGAGATAAAACACACAAAGTCTGTAATGGCTGAGGCTATTTTCAGCCGTAACTGTGATGCTTAATAACAGTGACAGCAGAGATGACACCTTCTGTGGTACAGGCACCATGTATGGACCGGGTTCATTGAAAATGTCAGAGAGCACCTGCAGCCCTGTCCTAATACTTCTTGGAAGACAGAAAAATCTCAGTTCACATCTGCAAAAATCGACTAATTACTACCTTGCTCATATCCTGCTGTGCCTGAAAAAGAAGGACACATTTAAAAGAAAGCAGGGCTAAATATAAGTCATTTAAATAAGCAGAATTTATCCGATTAAATGGGGACTGAACAGATTGTGCCCAGAGGAAGTAAAAGGAAAGGTCTTCCTGCTCATTATTTAGAGAGAGAGAGTGGGCATTTTGGCCAATTTGAGCTCTGCTTAAAGCTTGATTTTTCTGCTGCCAAGCCAAACAATCTGACTACGCTCCGGATGTCAGGAGAATTATTCTGAAAAAAAAACAACACAAAAAAACGCGATGTTCTCAGCAGACAGTTCACAGAAGAGTCAGGTCCCTTAAATATCCCCAATCAGACCTTAATGTCCTGTTTTGTCAAGAGGAGCCGCACAATGTCACAATCCTCTCACAATGCCTCCAGCGCAGAGCGCACCCGTAAACATAATCCTCTCTGAGCCGAGAGAGGCTGACCAAACACCTGCCAACATTTGATAACATTTAGTCACTGCTACACTCCATTATTTTCCACTACTTGACATTGTCAGTGTTTATTAGTGGCCAGGGATTGTCCGGGAGCAGAATGAGGTGGAGATTATTTGTCTGTGGCTTTGGGTGTAACCTTGACTAGCACGTCTAGATGAACAGGACGCTCCTGTTTTTGGCTGCTTTGTCTCATCACGATTACCCAAAATCAACACATATAGGTCACATTGCTTTGCAAAAGTATTCATGCCTCTTGACTCTTCTCACATTGTATAACATTAAGGGAAAACATTTTAATCTATTTCCGTAACGAGATTTTATGTAAAAGATCAGGGTTCAGCAACCTTTTGCATTCTCTGTAAAATGTTTTAAAGGTATACAGAAAGAAATTAATTTAGATATATTTTCATTTGTATACTTGAATAAAAACAACCCCCCTTTACTGATACATTCAGAACATCAACATTAATTAATAAATAATTTAACCCATCTCTCCTGTTGTCTTTGTGGTAAAAAAAAAAAATACTCAGGATTCTCTTAAAGAGCTACAGGGATAAATCCATTGGTATGAGAGATCAATGAAACGTGGTTCATTGTACATTTCAAGTGAAGGAAAAATTCTGCACTTTGCTATAAAAAAAAAAAAAAAAAAAAACTTGTGTAAATCAGGGATGGGCAAATATTGTGTCATTTGTCAATATATAATCTTACTGTATGCTGCTCCGTGGCACTACGTCCCTTTGTCATATATATAAAATAGCTAGTTTATATAAATTTATTTATCCTGCTATAGGTTTAGGCTGCTGGAGGACATGGGGACCACTTTTTTCATTCCATTCTACCCAGAGATGGGAAGTAACGAAGTACAAATACTTTGTTACTGTACTCAAGTAGATTTTTCTGATATTTTTACTTTACTACTTATTTTTATGGCAACTTTTTACTTCTACTCCTTACATTTTTACACAAATATCTGTACTTTCTACTTCTTACATGTTAAAAAATTGGCTCGTTACTTTAGTTTTGAATCATTTCAATGGAGTTACCATTATTATTTTTCACGTCATCAATACCAAATTCAATCTAATTGGATGGGAATCTACGTTGCATTTTACGCACCACTACAAGATGAATCAACAGATTCGGCGGTATTCATTCGCGGCAAATCATTGCAGCTTGGTGGCGTTAGCATAGTAGTATGGACGACGAGATGATTGAAAATGAACACAAAGGAGATCTAGTCCTATTGGCAGACATCCATTTAAAATGTAGGCAACGGCATGAAAAAAGTGGTTTCTACTTTCACTTTTATACTTTAAGTACATTTACAAGCCTGTACTTTGTTACTTTTACTTGAGTAAAGAAGTTTAATCAGTACTTCCACTTTTACCAGAGTATTTTTTAACACAAGTATCTGTACTTTTACTCAAGTACGGAAAGTGAGTACTTTTGCCATCTCTGATTCTACCACTCTGAGTTATTTGTTAGTTCCACCTATAACTTAATGTTCTTTCTGCTTTCTCTCACCCTAGTAGCTTCATCTGGTCTGTTCCTATTTGACTGTGAATCCAACCAAGATTGAAATATTAGCCGGGCTGCTGTCATCAACACCTTTGCTTATAGATATCGTAGCTTGGCCTTTTTTTTCAGAATAGTCCTGTTCTTTTACTGTGACTAACTATGTGGTTACTTTTGTCCTCTGACATGGGAACTGGCTTGGAGCTCATCTGTCTGACTGTGTCTTTCCTGGAAGAGGCCACCTTGTGGTGCTAGTAACCTGTCGTATATCCGCTTCTTTGCGTATGTCTGCTTCTATCTCCTTGAATCCCGAGTCGGCAGAAGGCTGCTTCCACTGCAGTGGTTCTACTAGACGGTTATTCCCGTTAAAGGGAAGTTTTTTCTGATGATTGTTGCTGCATGCATACTCGGTGTGAGGGATTACTGAACAGTTAACAACAATATGCAAGGGAAAATCGTTGCTGTAGGCACATCCAGGAGGAGCACGTATTGCAAGTTGATGACTGCATTCAATCAGCAGGTTTTTCTTGATAGAAACTTTTGTCCAATCTGACACTAGTGTCTCTGTAAAGCACCTTTAGATTACATGTGTAATAAGGTGGTGCTGTGTAAATAAAAAAAAAATGAAACTGCTATTCTTTACTGTAATAGCTGATGGCATTTATGATGGCATGCTTGGGATTGGTTATTTTTCTGTTCCAACTGTCTGTATGGTTTATTAATACCATAAAATATTTGAGACCAAGATTTACTGAACTTATAGAGCATTGCTTACCGGTACATTAGCAAAAATACTTTTAGCTAATGTATTAAAGTAGCCACTTAGATAATGGATGCATTTTATTTCATCTGCTGTATTTGTTGGACTCTGAAAATAATCTGATGTAGAGAATAAACATTTTTTTCAGGTGTTTTTTAATTAATATGTTCACTTTTGTTATTATAGCAATAAAGTTGCACTTTTATTTTTGTTTTCTATATTTCGCCTATCCATGCTCAAACATGACTGTGTGTTGTCATGCTGTGGGTCTGCAAGAAAACTGGTCATAGTTCATAAAACCAAGAATAAGTTAATAGTTAACAAATGGTTCTCTTGAAAGAAAACCTGCAAGAGTGCTGACTCAAGGAACCTAAATAAAGATTGAAACTATTTTTAGATTTCTATTTGTGAAGAATATTCCATTATTTTCCTAACATATCTCTCATATGCTCTACAATGTGTTAGTGAGTCAGTAAAAAAACCCACATGTGTTTATAATGGTACAATCTTTTCCTATTGGTGTTAGCCACCAAAAAATCCCCCCAGCCTCAGTTGTTTTATCGTTAATTAGCGAACACTACCATGATAAAATTAAGATTTGTTCCCCTGTAATGAAATGATCAAGTCATCCCTTCACAATTGAAATCATTGTTTAAAAACTGCATTAGCTTTATTATCTGAAACAATAAAGTGTGACAAAAAAACAAAACAGAAGATTATCAATAAGAAGGCAGATACTTTCCCACAGGGCTGTACATAATTAGATGCTTTTATTGAACTTAATTGAGATAATTTCAGGCATTCAGCCATGGATCTGTAGCTGCATTTCTTATTAAGTGGATCCGCGTGGTGGGATCTCACCTTGGGGTTGATGACCAAGTAGGTGACCACATTATGTTCTTTCAGGTAGGAATCTCTGCTCTGTCCATCTCCTGGCTCCACCTTATATGAGCCTTTCAAATGCTCCAGCGTCACCGAGGAGATGTGAACCCTCCTGGAGATGAATAAGTGGACAGATAATGAGAGGTGAAGTTCTTACGTCACTGCACTGTTGACAGCTATATAAAAACACATTATTTGCTCGCCGGCTTTCTAACCACTGCCGCCTGCAGTTCTCCCTTTTCATCTCTATTTGTTACCCTTGCAAAGCAGACTGAAGGAGATGGAAATACATTTTTTTACTTTTTCAGCCGATGTGGTCATTATTATTTTTTTTTCAAATACCTCTTAGCAGGCGTAGCAGGAGACAAGCCATTAGCAGCCCAGTGAGACAACACTGTGGTACTAGAGAGCTTATTTTCAGAGCAGCATAAATCTACCCCCCTGGCCAATTTTCACAAGCTTGTTACAGTGCTAGCCAGGCAGACATAATGGCAACATAACTAATGCAGAGCTGCTTAGTCAACTGAGGTAGCTATAATTTACTAAAATGCTATAATAGGTATAATTATAATAGACTTGTCTCATGTTCCAAGTCCCATTGAAAATAAGTGTGGCCTTGAGGGAATCAGGTAATGGGGAAGGTGAGCTGCATGCACAATAATTGCAAATAAACACTACTTTGAAATTGCTTCATCCTTTAAAGGATCTCACCCCGGCACTCCTCCGGCTTCCATGTGATTGGCCAGTGTGACGTCGTGCGACCACACGTCGTACTGCCACTTGCGGAGGCCAATCACACCGCAGAGGACGTTCCCAGAATGAACGCCGACACGCATGTTGATGTCCACTCCAGTGGCATCTCGGACCTTCCTGCGGACGGGGGCAGAGCAGAAACGGACGTCTGTTTCCTGGAGGAGAAGATCCACCGAATGTGTGGCACAGACATGAAGCAAAGGCTTATAATGCCTTATAGAAGTGCTTATAAACCCTCTTTGGTTTGTTACAACCACAGACTTCAACAAATTGATCTGACACTCACAACAGAAAGTGGTAGATGATTGTAAAGTAAAAAGAACAAAAAAATGACAAAACAGCGCCTTTTGATGTCTGTATAAAAGCAGCTGTTGTCATGGTTTTGGTTCTGTTCAAGTTTTATCCTTTATCTTTCATTGGTTTTATTTCCATGTTGTGTTGTTCTAGTGATTTTTGATTGTATTTGAGTTCTTATATATTTATTTTTTGCCCTCTGCTGCCCTCTTGTGTCAGTCTCCTTCTTCTAGCTCCCTTCTAGATTCTTCAGTCCACACCTGCTCCCAATCTGCTGATTAGCTCTTTGTTTCTCTCTCCCATATATACTCCTCCTGTTCAGTCACTCTTTGATGGTTCCTCTTTGTCATCATTTCATTGCCCTTCTTGTGAGTTTTCCTGGATTTCAGCATTTTGTTATTTTTGCTTCTGTTGCCACCTTTTTTTATTAAATCTGCAAGAAACCACCTTCAGCTTCAGTCTCTGCATTTGGGTCCTCCTCTTTAAATCTCCACACAACCTGACAGCTGTTCGTGAAGGCCTCAAAAATTTGTTGGAGAGCATTGGTAAAGAGAAAGCACTATACGTAGACAAAGGATCAGACCGGATATCCTTTATCCAGAGTTGTAGAAAAGCTTACAGCACATTCAAGGTCTAGACCAATGTTCTTATTTTTGAACAAAACCCAGAGTTCTGTTCAATCCATCATCTGACCAAAGAAAAAACTAAGACACACTGGCAAACCTGACAAGATGTGCTAACCCACCGAAACCAACAAGAAAGCATTGACTATAAAAGCAGCGCAGAGACCCACGGAGGATCTGGAGGTGCTGCAGAGACCCCGAACACAGGTGGGGAACGAGGAAGAAAAATCACTATACACGCCATTCCTACTTTAAAACATGGTGGTGGTAGTAGCATGCTGTGGGGAACATTTTCTTCAGCTGCACAGTCAAAGCTGGTGGATGAAGCTAAATCAGGGGCAGTAAAAGAAACCTGTTGAAGGTCCTAATGATTAACTGTAAGCCTGCAGCGATTGATGAACGTCACCTTCCAGCAAGAAAACAACTTTAAATACACAGCCAAAGCTGAAAAGACAGGGACTAATCTGGTGTACCAATGCACCGCCAAATATCCAATGCAAACAAGAAATCCACACCAAGAAGTTTCTTAGTTTAACGCATTAGTTACTTTCACTGTGTTGAAATAAGGACAACATTTATACAAGAAAGATACAAGAAATGTGTCATCAAACTGTCAGCGTAGCATCATGTTAGAGTCTCTGGGGATTTGCTGTTTTCCTGGTGTGAGTGAGCTTCCTGTTACAGAGAGGATTTGAACTAAGCTATGGTTAAATTTACATAAATTAACAAGAACAAGATTACAAAACTGAGAAGATTTAACTAACTTCTGGTTAGAAATCCCTGCAATTATTTGATGCAGGGCGGGGACCTCTGACTGTTAGGACCAGATCCTGTGTTCTGGAATGTCTAATAGTTTTCTGATTTGTTAAGAATCGTAAAAAAAAAAATCTGGTCTGGCAAATAGAACCCAGATAAATTCGATTGGAGTGAGTGACTGTGACAAAATGTTTTAAAGTCTAAACTGTAAACCATTTTTCAGGGCATTGTGCTTTTGATAAAAATTAAATAAAAATAAACCACACACACCAAAGTAGACCCCAGTTTGAGTCCACACCAAACAGGAACAGTTTAGTCCACGAGCTAATTAAAATCAGTTGGATAATTGACTAAAATCCACAAACTGCTTTTTAATCGTGGCATAATTGCTGACTACAGTGATTAAAGGTCAGCGCTAGCAAACCGAGGCATTGTCTGTCAGATAGAAATCTTCATGCATGAGTGAGAGAGATGGAGAACAAGAAAAAGAAAAGGAAAATTACAAACCTAAACCATGATATGTATTCATTTGTTGGATTTTTTTTTCTATGGGAGCAGTTGGGAAGCTTATCATATTGAATTCACCCTGTGTTTACTCTGGAGTTTAAACAGAGCTGGAATTTAATCAGGCATTCCTTCTGCTCAATCTGTTTAACAGGCGTGTGTTTGTTTGTGCCGGAGGAGGAAGAGAAGAGTGAGGGGGGGTTGGGGGTGGGAAGGGGGGGTTTGGTGTTTTACTTGATGGCCTCACACATATCCAGGCCCATCTTCACGCAGTTCCTGGCGTGGTTTGGCAGCGACTCAGGAAGTCCGGACACGCAGTAATAACAGTCGCCCAGGATCTTGATCCGCATGCATTCGTTCTCCTTAAAGAACGAGTGAAAAGGGGAGGAGGTGAAGCAGATCCACGAAAAGCTCCTTGATCACATGTTATTATTGATTCATATTTTTTATTTACTTTCACCTCAACACTCACACCCTCAGAATCAGATCCATCAAGCCTAAAAATCGTACACCCACACATAAAATATATTAGCTCTTATTCCACGTGTGGGATGAGTAACAGCTCACTGTTTATTATTATTATTTTTTTTATGTAACTGCATCATTAGGAGGTGATCTCTGCTGGACACAAAGCTCAGAAAGCCTGACTCAACAGTTGAAGGTTTTATTGCTGGGCACCTACAGTAGGTGGCTCAGTCATTGTTGGCATCCTGCATGCATGGAAGACTCAAACACTGGATGAGAGTGAGGCCTCCACTGGATGGAGTCAAACTGACAAAGCAGAAATGGAAAGTGTTGTATTGGCTGCTTTAGTATCACTCCAATCCACTCCAGATAAAGTGATTTATTCTGATTAAAGCCAACTGCTCCTGAATTTTACTGCACATCTACCAGCGTGAAAGCCGAGACCCCATCCCAGCCATAACAGGATAAAACAAGGACTATGAAATTGAATAATAGCCTAAATAAATCAATTAATTTAAACTGCAAATTGCATTGTCGAGGAGTCGCTTGTGGACTGAGCAATAAAACATTCAACTGTTGATTATTTTCCCATTAGATCTGAATTAAATCCTGATGAAAAAAAGCAGAGCTTTAGATACAGGCAGGTTTATGGAGCCTCTTTATGTTAATAAATGTATTACTTTCTCAATATTGTATTGAATCTAAAATAAAAATGATGATGCATTTGAGTTTATTTTACCAAAACCTTAAAAAGGTCTTGAATCCAAATTTGCATTAGCTAGGGGTATAAAGGTACACAAAAGTATGTATTATGGATTTTAAAACATGGTTTGGTAATTTTTAGGTACATTGCAATCAGGAAAATAAACAAATATGTATTTTTTATTAACCTTTGAACAGTTAAAAGGTTAAATCCATTGACAATAATTTAATTGTTTAAGCAGCATGATCTAAAATTAAAAAGATAAGCCGGTATATATGCTTATTTTTTCTTAGTACCTGTGAGGGTTACTGTTTCAGTCCAATTTAGACGTGAAAATTAAATGGTGGGTGTGCAACAAATGTGGTTTTTATTGGCAAAAATTAAGTCATGTTAAATTAAACATATTAATCTGCCAATGTCTAATAACATGAAATCCAAATTAAGGTTCTCTTAATTTAGAATTAATAGCTTAAAAATACATAAGGGACAGTGCACCCAATGGGAGACGCCATGATGCTTCCACATTTTTATCAGAGTGGCTGAAAAGGGACAAACTTGTTAGCTTAAGCATTTTCTCTTTACCTGAAAGCATGTTGTTCTGTTGCAATAAAGGGCGTCTGTACAATTTATCTAATTCATTCAGTGCCCCAATCGATGGAGGTAAATATGAGACACACTGTCCCTTTAAATAACTCAGAGCTGCCTATCATATCAGTGCTTACAGTTCACTTTTCGTTCTCAATGGCTTTAGATGTAGCTAAAGTTTGGCTTTGATTTTGTTTTATTTTAGGTTCTTCTGCAGAGCATATATTTATATTATTTAGCTACAACGTTGTAGTCATTCATTACGCTATCGTGGGGAACCCAGTTTATCGTCGACTCCCCCTAGTGGCCTGAAGAACCTCTGTTATGCAGAGCTACTTTGGAGCTTTTTTTAATGTGCATATATTATTGTGACTTGTAGCATTTTTTCTTTGCACGTGTTTTGTATGTTTTTGTGTTAGCATTAATCAAGTATAGCGTGTCCACAAATTTATATTTAACTTTTCCTCCCTCATTTTTACTGTGATTGCATCATTATTCTTTTAGAGTATTTTTCCTTTTCATGTCTTTTGCATGAAAGTATAATTTTTGTTTGCAGTACGCCTTTGTATTTGCAGTGCATTTATGTATTTGCAGCGCGTTTGCACCTCTAAGCCATTGTACATGAAGCCTCAAAAGGAGAAATCATCTCCTTTACATTAACATTTTTCCTTTTCTTTACACCTTAGTCCTAACAAGCACACAGATCGACAACAAAAAAGGCATATTTATCTAAGTTGTATTCATTTTACATTGAATGCATAAATAGACAGAGAGGCATGCATACTGATATTTCTTACCTTTGCAATCTGGTCAAATTTGCCAAAGAGTTCATTCAGCATGTGCACAAGTTCACCAGGAGAGCAGTCGCTGGCCAGCCGTGTGAAGCCCACAATGTCGGCGTAGAGTATGCTGCAGAAAACACATAGAAACAACTCATCACATGCTTTTGGTTGTTGCTCTGTAAATGTAAAGCATGAAACCACAGAGAGCTATTCAGTTAACACTTTTGTAAGACACATGAATGGTCACTAGACTCTTTTATTATTTTACTTGGTGGCCTAAAACTAAATTATGTGGATTACTTTGGTTGAGTCCTTGCAACAAAAGCTTCTCCTTGTAAATGAAAATCATCTTCCTGCTGAAATTTCTTTGTTTGTATCTCCTCGAAATTATTTTAAAACAAATCTTGACCTTAAAGGGTGAGAAAAAGACGGTGCTTTAAAAAAAGCAAATAGCTGACCAAGGCAGTGGATCTGTCTGTGGCTATTGCTTTTGAGCATAAGGATTTAAAGTTGGAAAATGTCTTATTTTTCTTATTTTTTGTCTAGTGGTCACTCGATTAAAATGCACCAATAACCACGTTTCCAAGCATGTATCCTGCTTGCTGATATCAAAAAATTTGCATTTATAACATTAGTTTGAAGCGACTTTGTGGTGAAAGAAATGTGGGAAAATAATTGAAAAAAGAGCTTGAGTAATATGAACAATCTTGTTGGAAAAATAATGGTTTTGACATCCATATTATTTAGTACATTTGCATTTTTCAGCAGTAAAATCTGGACTGATATGTAAAATTTCAGACTTTCATTTCCTTCCATTCACTGTTGCTATGATTTAATAGAAAATCATTCTGCTGGCACAGTTGTTTTAGAGAGAAGGGAGTGCTGATGCTCACCTTGTTTAGAGTTGAAATGTAAAGTAAAAGCCAACACAATATTAGCTTTTAATTTTTTATTTTAAAGGGGGCATCTACAACATCTTATCAAAATAAATAACTTTTCTAAAATAAAACAACCACAGAACGTCTAGCACGATGCAGACAAAGAAATTCATTTTACTGAAAGTAATTATTTTATAAATTCAGACGTATCCAGTTTATATAAATATTTACTACTGATATGATGCTTATACCAACACTAAAGGATTCTGTATCAGTAGGAATCATAGACAGTAGGAAGACGACCTGTTGCTGACTGGTAACATGGGCTGTATCCAAACATTCGCCATAATCCCTTTATCCCTATACAGAGTGGGGATTATATACTGGACTTTATATGGTACTCTAACTGTTTGGACAGATGAAAAAGGCTGTTTCTCAGTTCACAAGAGCGTGAGTCTGAACTCGTGTCCTTACAGAGTATGTTCTTGAAAGGAACACAGGAAAGTATGGGCTGGGGGGGGGACGGGAGCACGCAGCATTAATATGGGTCAACTGGAACAGAAGCGTACTGATAATGTCACCACAAGCTCGGTTAATCTGGAGCTGCATTTCACCTCCTGTCCTTGTAATAGTCTCTAGATAATACTAAATTCTTACTTTTTTCATTTACTGGGGGGATAATAAATAACACAGTAAACAAAAACCAAATGAACATTTTGCCAAATAAAACAAATCGCTATCAGAGCCAGCGGTATTTCACACACGGCTATGCTGAGAAAGGGCCGCTTCAGACGGGCTGCGGTTAGCCCTGGCTGCTGTTACCCTCAGAGGTCTGCTGGTTGCCGCAGTCCTTTTATTGATTTTATGCACAAGATCAGTAAGTGGGCCATATAGTGATGCTTAAAAGTATAATGTTCTTGCCTTAAATTATCTTAAAACATACTTTTATTGAACAAAGGAGACACAAAAGAGATCTTTTAACCTAATCTCTGTGAGCACTACACTGGAAGCTGCTGCCACGGTGCATGTTGGAGCAGCTGTTAATCTCAAGAATGGACAAGTGTACTCTGGTGCATGCTGGGTAAAGAGGGAGGGGCGAGAATAACATCCGGGGACTTTGTCTGTTCTCAGTGTTTTTGTTCTTTTGAATTGGAACAGTACTAGGGCTGAGGCTGATGTCGTTTTTCGAGCACACGAGCACATGAGAACATACAAGTACACATATGAAGAAACTGCCCAATACATTTGTAGGTCACGTGACTCTCGCTCCTCGCACGATATTTGTTGTGTGTCCCCCCCGCTTTGCGAGTAAAGCTCTTGCAAAGCTTTCTGGGATATAGCTGCCCCTCTAGTGACCATGGACGTACACCACTTTTTAAGGTGCATTGTGGAATTTTGAGTGCACTACCTTTTCATCTGCTAGATATTTGGACACTTATATAAAGACACTCCCTATTTAGTAATCTATATAGGGGTTAGGGCAGACATTCAGACACAACCATTGTCTCTATATTAAGCCACTTTTGAGACCCCTTTACCAACCACTTTTAGAAAAAGTGACTAGCAAAAAAATTTAGCAGCTTTTCCTGTTTTTGGAGACTTTGATGAAAAAACATTTTAGCACAAATGCAGAGATCACTCTGAGATGACTCTGTTCAGTAAGCAGTTGGTGATTGATGATGTAATTCTAGCTACGTTTGGCCAGCCAATAGCGACTTGCCTCGCTGAAGATTTGACACCAGTGTATAAGCCAGAGTTCAGGTGATGCCATATTCCAATAACTTAGTGAGAGCAGAGAAGAAACTTCTTCAAATTGAGGCAAAACGAGAGTAAACATCAGTTAAGCTTTTGAGTCTCGTGCCGACTTAAATTCGTAGGGAAACTGCCGTTCCAACTGTTGCATTTTCAAATTCTCCCAAGTGGTGCACGACTTTAGATGAGTGAATAAAGTGAATGTGATTGGTCGATTATCAAACGGACGGAAGGTTCGCAAGCAAGTTTGATTGTAGCTGGTTTCTCGGAAGCATCTTGTTAACCAGTTAGCAACTTGGTGCTAGTAGGTTCCCAATGGGAAATTCCATTGGGACCAAGTAGCACTAAATTGGTGACTTAGAAACGACACTGTCAAGGAACGCTATGGACAGAGGAAACATGAAAGAGGAGGAGAGTTTAATGTCAGAGGTCTTGGATGAGTCTCCTCAATCATACATTTTATTTAGAGGAAGAAAGTGGGGACGAAGATGTTGTGGAAGAGGACGCCAGGGCGGCAGAAGCTTGGTTTGGTGTAGAAGGCTTACAGCCGTACATGTTTGAGCCCTTGCCTCACAACGCTGCCAGTTCTATTAGCTCTACGCCTGCCAAAGACACAGACGTCCATCCCCATGAACACTGGGACGGAACTCAATGGGAAAGTAAATGATTCTTATTTCTTATTTTAACTGTTGCGTATATAGGCTGCGACATATGAATCAAGATGCTATGACCGAAAAAATTTGATTGACAGATGACCGCTGATATTTGATTGGCCGAATTTAGGTGTACTAAATTGCCAGTACTAACTAACTGGCCTGCGTAAGATAACGAAAAAATACTTTTGTTTTTTTCATTTTGAGACAAGAGTACAGTAAGATACATGTTTAAGCCAGAATGATTTGGTCTTCTATGTTTTCCAGACCAAGGACCCCCAAACTGATGGCGAGATGGAGCGAGGACCCCCTATTTATATATATTGTATGAAATTGTGTCCTATAGTCACTCTATTACAGATGGAGTAATGTAAAGAAATTAATTTCTCCCTGGGATTATTAAAGTTTTTCTGATTCTGATTCCTGGTTGTTGTGAAGGAAACGGTGTCCAGCTTGAAAGAGCTCCTGTGTGTCGCTGAATGTGAGCATTGATGACTGAAAGACATCTTCTGCCTCCATTTATCTGTTTACTACAGTGTGTTGATTTCATGTTAATGAGTATTTAAAGACATTTCAATTAGTGGGGGAAAAAATTGCAGGGGGGGAATATAAAAATATCAACTAACCATGCAGACCCTCATGCAGTACCTCCGTAGACCCCCTAGGGGTCGCGGATCCCCCGTTGAAGACCGATCAAGAAAATTTTACTAACACAAACTGAGGGACCAGGCTGAGGTAGGAATTTAAGGTTACTGAAGTGCGGATTTTTTTACTGAAAGCCGGCGGGCAAACTTGTTGCCATCGTCCTCACCGACCACCTGGTCATAAAACTGTTTTAAGTGATCATACTGCTGCCTCCAGGGTAGCCTCCGTGCTGCTTTGGCTTCCACGCTGCATTTTGTTTTGATGACGCACGCGGCTGTAGGCTACGACACTGGTAGCTGGTGTTGCCAGATTGGGTGTTTTTCCCGCTACATATTAAGGCCTGTTTACGGTGTGATTTAGCCGGGGTTTCGCCTGGAGGGCTCTATAGAAATCTGGCAACCTATTGAACGGAGTTGAACTGAGAGAGCGTGCCGTTCACAGACACCACAATGAACGAGTTCACAATAACGTTCACCAGGCAGTAATGCAGGACGTTCAGTTCACGTTCGCCCAAAATATGAACGAATATGAATGAATATTGAACTTTCGTTCAATGAACGCGTTCAGGCACAACACTGTATGTACGTATATATTACATTAAGAAAAGGAATATGAATCGTATCATAAGATAGGAAATATGCAGTCTGATTCCAGTAAAACTAAGCATTCAAATGTCATTGAGTGTCTAGTTTCTGTTCTGAAAAGAAAGTGGGCTCTTCTCCAACCCCCAAGGCTTAGAGCAGGACCATAGGAGAATTTGTTATTAGTGGAAATATAATAGCGAGATGAAGAGGAGGACACTTCGCATTCACCCAAAACACCCAGCTGAGGCCAGAGTTGGATAGAAATACTGCTTCTGGAGTAAAGCTCAAGGATGGCGTAAAGCAGGTTTTTTGGGGACTCAGGATTGAGCTGCTCTCATTGTGAGCCAAGATCAGTGCCCTCTGTTCTGCCACGATAAACCTTCACAGTGCAGAGAGGGATGCCATAGAGAACCGAGGACAAAAGCTCCTTTCTATTTGGTGAAGTGAACTCAGAGTAAAATGGAGGTGGGTTAAATCTCAACTGAATTTCACCCTGGCAATGAAACAAAGTGTGGTGAGAACATGAGAGAAGAAAATTAGACAGAAAAGAAAAGGAGGATAAGCAATGAAATGGAGGCCAGAGAAAAGTAGAAACAGAAGAGAAATCCAAATTTAACAGCAGGTGGGAACGGTCGGACAAAAAAAGAGCAGCGATGAGGAGGAGGACAGGATGGAGCAATCAAGCCCCAAGATGAGAGCAGAGAATAATAACCTTTATTATATGTGGAGGCACAGATAAAGGAAATGGAGGTGTACCTGACGTTGGTGTGCCTCTGCACATAGAGGTTATGAAAGTTGTTGGTGCTCTCGGTTCGACCAAAGTTCGGCCCCTGCAGCCGCTGGATGATTTCAGCTTTCATCACTCTGGCTATGTGTGCAGGCAGCAGGGACAGCAGCAAGCGCTCCTAGACAGGCAAAGACACAACAACAGTATATCATTATATCTGTACAGGACTCCAGGATCTAATGTTGCAGAGGAACTAAAAGTGTGCATTAAATCCAGGCTTCAGGCTCTTTCAAGCCCACACAGATTTCTGAGAAGGTTTTATGAATCTTATGCATACGTTTATGTTGCAAGTTCCTTTTTTGGCTAATTTGGAAGAGAAGAATAAGATTCAGACTAATATTTCAGATTTTGAAAACAGATTGCATCAAAGTTCAAGTTTTTTTCAGTATTTGACCTGTGATATTTTGTCAGATTTAAACAAAAAACACTTCAATATTCTAGTTTGATGTTGATATAAACTAGGAGATTTAGGTTTTTCCTTTCCCTGATAGCTTTATCAGTGCTCAGCTTTTTCTGCTGTTATGAAATTATTAAATGAGTAGTTAGTCATGGTTCACAGTTGTCAAAAATTAGTTGACAGTTGTAGGAGTTAAAGCAGTAGTTAAAAGCTTCAATTTCGGACCAGGCATGACAATTTAAGATATCTACCGTAACACTCTAAAAAAAAGAGTCAAAATATCAGATTTTAACAGATCAAAATGCATATTTATATGTGTTCAAATACTGTTTATTGAAGTCTGGTTCTGGTAATGTTCCGGCTCTGCTGTAGTTTGTGCAGGTTATTGTTGATAAATTGATCAGCAGTAAGTTGAGTCTTATTAGAGAACAAATGCATACATTTGGAAAACCTAAAGCATCTTTTATAGAAAGATTGCTTGTTAAAAGGTTTTCAGCCCAATAGGCATTCACTTTGCTGAAGTTACGGTAGAAGATAAGGCTACAGCAAAAGACAAAAATGTGAAACTTCAATTTAATTGGACAGTGTTACAAACTTATATTCTGTTAATTTATTCACTCTGGGTTTTGTAGAGTTTAAGCTTTAGAATTGATAGAATAGAGACTAGAATAGTAAAACAATGGGAAATCATCTGTAATGAATGTCCTTTTGTAAATGTATAGATCTATGAGCGGAAGAATGTGAACCTGTGAGGAAATACGCAGCAACTGTGAGGCTTTCTATGTCTAAAAATGTCTAAAATTATATAGGAGAAGATTGAATTTAAATTTATACAGCATGACCCCATTACTCTTATTAACTTTAACAGATTCTATAGATAGATAGATAGATAGATAGATAGATAGATAGATAGATAGATAGATAGATAGATAGTACAAATACAAAAAAAATCACATGCATTAACTTTTAACTTTAACCATTCTCCAACAAAAGAAAGGACAAATGCTTTCAGCTATTTTTATAACATGTACATTAAAACCCACCACAAAAGAATCCATTTGATATCTTAATTCTAATTTATATTCAGCTCACATCATTTTAAATTTCTATTATTCAACCTCCTAAATATAGGTCCATTATTGAGTCTCCTTTTAAGATGGCTTATTAGGGTTAATTTATCAGGAAGAACTGGAGGCAAACATTAGACGAAGACAGGGCTATTTTCCTCCACACTCAGATTGTTTCATTATCTCCCAGTAATTAGGGTCGAAACCAAAGGAAAATGTATTTTTTTCCTAGTTTTAATATTAATTCTTACCTCACTTAAAATCATCTTGACCCCTGCCTAAGGCAAGGAGAAAGCTAAGCTTTTAGTGCGATGTGAGGAAGTGTGCAGAACTGTAGCGTTTCTGGTGGCCTTTTGTTATTAATTAAGAAACCTTTGCGCAGAAGTCCTTATCTCCTCCTTCACTCTTGAAATTCTGCAGGGAGACACATGTTTTCTCCACATGTACCTTAACCACATCACTAACAGATACACTGTCTGCTGCCAACCCAATCATTTCTTCCTTTTTTTTTTCAACTCTTTAGAATTTGCAACACTCTTTCATGCCTGGGGTGCTTTTATTATGCTTGGAATGAGTCATAGATCAAGATATGTGAGGCTCAATATACAAGAAAATAGAAATCCAGGTGGTAGAGTGGTGTTTCTTTGCACGGTTGCCTCAGAGCAGAAACGTCCTTGGTCGGAGCCTCGGCTACATGGATGTTTCTATGGGTAGTTTGCATGTTCTAGTGCCTGCGTGGGTTTGCTCCAGCTATTCCTTCTTTCCACCCACATTCTGAAAAACCTTCATCCCACCAGAAGCAAACAGGTTGCCGGTAAACTCAGGGGAGGTGACGTCTTTCTTGAATGTTCGTTTCTAACCAGTGCTTAGATTGTCACATAATTTTGCTCCAAACACTGAAAAATGTTCCTGCTTGAATGAAGAAAACTAAATAATCAGTTTCTCTTGTGGTAAAGTGTCGACAAAGGAAAACTCAGTTAATCCTTATTGATATTTTAATTAAGCTTAATTTATGATTAGATCAACTGAGCAACTTTGCGAGCCGCATTTGCAGAGAAAACAAAATCCAATGTTGGTCTTTAAATTGCCTCAAATTTTAACAAACAAAAAAGTTAATTTGATCACATTAAGCTTTTTAATGTATTTGTTAAACTACTACTTTTACTCACTATTGGATTAATGACCTTGTTTCCCTTTGGCTTATTTTAGTTTTAAAACCAGTTTATACTCAAATGACCTTAAATACCCTTCTCAATGAAACTCCATTCAGAAGGAATTAAATTTTATCGTCCTTGTGAGGATAATGAACAGTTTATTTTTGTTTTATGAGATTTTAAAAAGCAATACTTGCCTTTCATTTCATAGACCACTTTTCGTTTTTATATTATTTCAGAACTATGACATGAAAAGTTTGAGTCAAACAGAAGCTTTTAATAAACCTCCTAAATTAGATAAAAAGGTTTAGGTCATATCTGGAGGGACTCTGCAAATAATGTATTTTAGCTATCATATTTCATCATTTAAAATGCAAAAATTGCAGTCATTTAACACAGACATTTATCCCACAGCAAACCTTTTTCCTCCATAAGTTTAAAGGCTAATTGTTAAAGTGAAAACCACTGATCTATGTCATCTAAAGGCCTTTTTAAAGTAACTCAAAAAGCCCTATTCTCTTTTTTATGTAAATCCAATTACCTTCATGCAAATCTTTCTGTTCTAAAATTTGCCTTAAATTAAGGTGGTGTCCTTGTGGGTCCCTTAAAAACCCAGAATGGTGATAAATAAATGATTTAAATGCAAAGGACAAAATTTCAAATTAAAAGGTATCCAAAAAAAAAAAAAAAAAAACTCACAGAGAATCTAATTTAACATTCTATTCATCTTTAATGCCTTTTAATATTCTTGAAGCAGTTTTAAATAATATTTTAAGAAACTTGTTACAGAGGTAACTGTTGAAGATTGTTTAAAACCATTCTGATACATTTAAAAAAAAAATTTTTTTGTTTTACTTATTTTTTTTTCTTTCCCCCCAGTATTTTTATTGTCATTATACTGTCACAAGTACAGCACAATGAAATTAACTCTCTGTATTTAACCAATCCCCTTGGGGAGCAGTGGGCTGCCATTGTGCAGTGCCCAGATTGGCAGTCTGTGGGAGTGGGTTTTAAACTCACAACCTTAGGATTCCAAGCCCTATGCCCTGACCGCTAAGCCGTAAAAAGTTATTTATTTTTTTTAAAGTTAAAGGTATAGTGGAGGATGTCATTTCTATATATGTGTGTATATATATAAACAGTTAACATGTAACGACAGTGAATGGTTTTAACTCATTTGTGTTAAAAGGGAGTTTTTCCTCTCCACTGTCGCTACAAGCATGCTAAGTGTGAGGGATTGCATTCAAGTCAAAGAGTCGATGCAATCAACTGGTTTTTCCTTAGATAGAAATTTTTGAATCAATTTGACTGTAAGATCTGGTGAACTTTAAAGTGCCTTGAGATGACATGTGTTGTGAATTGGTGCTATATAAATAAACTGAATTGAATTGTATGCCCATCTATTTGGTTACTACCTTTACACCATGGTAAATGGTAAATGGCATGTACTTATACAGCACCTTTATTCAAGTCAGGAGACTTGACCAAAGCGCTTTACACTACATTCATTCACCCATTCACACACACACTCACACACTGATGGTGGCAAGCTACATTGTAGCCACAGCTGCCCTGGGGCTCACTGACAGAAGCGAGGCTGCCGTACACTGGCGCCACCGGGCCCTCTGACCACCATCAGTAGACAATGCAGGTGAAGTGTCTTGCCCAAGGACACAACGACACTGAAAGTCGGAGTCGGGGCTTGAACCTTCAACCCTTCGATTTCAGGGCAAACTCCTACATCCAATGCCACTGTCGCCCAACTTTGCCCTAACCATGTGGGATTTAGTCTTGCTAGTACATGATTGTAACAAAGACTTAGACTAACTTTATTGTCATTTTGTGTACAAGATACAAGAACTTCTTCGTTTTGGTATTCTAAAAGACCTAAATACCTACAGCATTTAATAAGACATATTAATCAACTATGGTACACATTTTGCTGTAATTAAGCTTCAGATGTATTTGTTCAGGCTCAATTTAGGTGTGTGTGGTCAGGTGGGAGAGCATGTGTGCTGCACTGCATGTGCGCGTGAGGGTGGCAAGAGCATGCAACGTGCACATGCAATCACGCACATTTATGTGAGTCATAACTGCAGCTCACAGTAAAGAGGGTCATTACACTGTTCACACACCATGGGCTCATTTCCTAAAACACAGCAGCAAATTGAGTCTGGAGAGGGGCTGTAGTTGGGGGTGCAGTGCACTATAAATAGAAAGGCATGCCATCCTCTTTTATTTACTTATTCAGCACTGAAACAGTTTGAACAGAGTACGCAGAATGGGTTATAGCAGCCTGAGGAAGTGTGGTGTTATTAATTTTGTGTTTGATTAATGAACTAATAAGACTTGTTCCCACATACCCCATAATAAGACTTCAGCTGTTGAACGAGATTTGGCCCTGTGAAGTTATGAACTGGCATTTGCTTGCATGGACACAAACTTTGACATGACCACACTCCTTCCCACACAAACTGTTACCGAGAAACATATGCCAGAAACACGGCACAAAAAAACAGATTTGATTTGCATTTAAGGGTGTCACAAATTTCCAATGAAATTATGCTATAATTACATGTTATTACGTCTGCTGTATAACTAGAGTATAAATCAGCAGTTTCAACTTGAATTAGAACAGGAGAATTACTCATTTCGTCATCATTAAGGGCTAGACATTTACTGTAAAAAAAAAAAAAGGTCATCACAGCGAACCACCTCTGAGCAGACCATCAATTATTAGTGTAATATTATATGTCACTTCCCTGGTCGGGAAGAATGCCTAATGTCAGGACAAAGACGTTAATGTCAAGCAAATGTCACTGCAAAATGCCACTTAAGACATGGCTGACCTACCAACTTCTCTTCTGTGACAAAACATTGAAGGAGAGCAAATTGGCAACAAAGAAAAATATGGTTACATTTTTATAAGGATTATTATGGAGGAAAAGTAGGCAGGGACCCCTTTCTAGTTAGCTGATTGTGAGGGTGCGGGGCTGTAAGGCCTTGCATTTGCACATATGGAGCTTATATTTATCATGAAAGCTACTAGTAACACTTAGAGTAACAATACAATATTTCTTGAGTTATAATCAATACAGATAAATTCCAGTTCTCATTAGGGTTGCCACCTTTCAGAAATGGAAATAAGGTACGTTCTGGTTGTAGAGAAACTTCATTGTCGAAAATATTGTATTTCTTGGATGCAAATTCCTGCAATTTCCTGCATTTTAACCAAATTGTGTCCTGTTTCAGCTCAACACAGAACCATTATTTTATTTTGTTCTCTGAGCGTGGCTTGTATTTCTTGCAATTAGCTACAGCCAATTAAAATAATTTATACATGGAAATGTTAAGTCTGCACAGTATCATCGCACACAGAAATCCCCTCCTAAAACCAATGGCATGCTTGGCCTGGTAGAATTTTTTTAGACTATAGGGAAGATTACCAGTATTATATTAATGTTTTTTTTGTGTGCTTATTTTTGGTTTATTTTGGTTGCTAGTTATCCAGTTTATTAAATGACTCATTTTGTTGTGCTATATTTTTCCTGCCAACTTGCTGTGGCCCCCCAAGGTTTCTGGCCCCCAATTTGAAAACCAATGTGTAAGATCATGATAGATGTATGGATATTCAGATCAGCAAAGCAGCTGTTTGGCATCTTTCTCTCCCTCCCTTTCTCTTCACATAGGCTAAATAGTTCAAGGAAAAAACAACACAAGAAAAAAGTTTTCTGATTAGCGGTATTCATGTATAAAGTTCTACCTATTTGCTTGAATGCCCTTGAGCAGATCAGCTAGGCACTTGTAATGAATAATGTTGCAATAGATGCTTCGAGTTGCAAAGTTTGTAAAACTAGAACTAAACATGAAGACTGTCACAAGGAAACCATGAAAAACGCCCCAAACAGAGAGATTACAGAGTGGAGAATGCTTTAGACAGACAACGTCATAATGGGAAGGTCAATCAAGAACAGTAGAACGCTAAGCTCTAGCTATGAGAGGGAGGGAGAGAGAATCAGGACGCACAGACATGGGTCACTCTCGCAACAGTAGGGTTGTTCTGTGCGCAAGTGACACCAATGTTACAGTTTTTTTTTATTATCCGTGAAAATAAGGAACAAATTGTGTCCCTTATCAGTTCAATACGGGACGCATAATTTAACTTCCAAATACGGGACGATTCCGTATTTCAAGCGACGGGTGGCAACACCAGTTCTCACAAGCAGCCAGCTAACAGCATTAAAACTCCTATTGCATTTTTGAGCTTGGATGTTTTAATTATATCACAACCTACTGAATTACCTTTCTAACCACAAGTCGTCAAACATAAGGGATTTATTGTATTGTACTATTATTGTGCTAAATATTGTTAGCAATACCAGGTGATAATGCCCTACTGAGTTTTGAGTTTAGACATTAAAGAAAATTCAGAGAAAAGCTGTAGAACCTATGTTTTGCACCAACTTTTACATTCTTATATCAACCCCATTCCAAGGAAAACATTTGCTTAAATCTGTGCTTTAAGACTTTGAACCTGTTGATGCTTCTCAAACTCCAGTTTGATGGGGGACTTGATGCAGTTGCAGGTGTCTTGATAGGTCTGTTTGAGCGCCAGGTCCATGAGGTGCTTATGATACGCCCCGGCCAGGTTTCCACAGGTGAAGATGATCACATTGGCCAGAATCTGCAAAGCAAACCATATATACATCAAGATAGCAGCAATTAAATGTTAGAAAACAATCCATTTGTGCTATGGCGTAAATATCAGTAAGCAGAGACACCAGTTGCTTATGGGCCCATAACCTCTTAGGGTCCCAATCTCTGACACCTGTTTGGCCCCTACGCAATTGTCAGCTAGGAGTTCTCTTTGCAGATGTAATGGGGCGAAAAATTCCTCTAAAACTCACCTGATACTGAGGAGACTGATCGCACCGGACCATATTTATACTGCAACACATGCCAGATTTCAACCTGATGGTGAGCAGTTTAAACACAACACCAATAGCAAAGCAGACAGTGGTACTTTTAATTACTATGTTAATAACTGTGTATAGGTCATTAGATGGCTCGTAAAAAATACCCTCATATATGTTTCAAACTGCAATTAAGATCTTAAAAGAACAATGTATTTTAGTATTTTATTTTTTACACTACGACTTGAAATCATGGGTAACCTAGAGCGTAAATTAAAACCATAACCGTTAGCGTGTGTTAGCGACGATTGATACCAAAAAGAGGTACTTAAGTGGATTCTAGAAAAGAAAAAGGAAAGAAGAGCTGCTGGAACGGAAAAAACTTCCCAAAATAAACACGTTCTTTCAAAGAACCGAAGACGAAGAGGTAAAGATTGCGAACAGGAGATGAATGGAGAGAGCATGGGTGAGGAGGGGGGCTGTGAAGCTCAAGGTAGCCCGATAAGACTCATTTTACAGCTGAATATACTAAAGTATATCCATGTCTAGTGAAGGTCAAGAATGATGAAGTGTGTATGTATGGGGCACATTTCGGGTCGGTTGTCTACTCCAGGGTGGGGTTTTATAAGAACTTTGGATGTCTAACATTTGGTGTCGCCCTGTCACCAGTGGTTCCATTCAAGGTGCACAGTCACAATATTTTTGTGTTTGATGTCCGATTATATACTACTGAGAATTGCATAATTGTATCCTATCTACGTATCCTGAACCTTTATCACGTGTTGTAATGTTGCTTACGGGCCTATTGTTGTGTCGTTACGCCATTGCATTTATGCCTGTAGCTAAAATTTTACCTTTGCTCTGCCTTCCACTTATGCACCATTATTATCACCTCACAAAAGCAGGTGAGAATAAACTCTCTGCTAGCTTTTTCTCACTATTTTAACCTCAAACTCTTCAAAACGTGAATGAGCGAATCAATAGATCTTCCTTGGTGCCATATCCCATGGTAATGAACGTCTTTGATGGGTTTTATTGTTGGTGTACATTTCTAATGCGTCTGTGTGTGTTCAAGACTGAAAAGAGCCACTGTGATAAGAGCCCTATCAGTGTGTTCACTGTGATGCTTGATTACAGAGCTTGTATGTGTTTGACAGTAGGTACCAGTTTCAGAAATGCAGTGATGCACAATCAATTTTACTCCTTATCTTGATTTTTATTGAGGCTTGCAGATTTAATGGTGGAGATGACTTTGTGTCTGACTGTACTGTGTCAGGATGGTCCAGAGTTTGTGGCTATTTAATGAACGATACCTCAATAAAATATTTTTCACCATTTTTAGATATGTAGAGACTACAGTCAGCGCTCTGTTTAGAAAAGCTAACCCGTCTGACCTGAGATCCAGCTAATGGAGCAGCAGCGCAACCGTTCAGGTGTTAAACAGACCCAAATGGCACAACCCATAACAGGGTCACTACATCTGCAGACGAGGCAGAAAGCTCTTTAAAAAAGGGATTTCCTGAGTACGGCTGACCTGTGGGCTCAAATACCCATCTTACCTGCCACACTAGAGGTTCCAGCTCTGTGACGGTGGAGGTCAGGCAGATGCTGAGGGTGACGGTGTGTGAGAGGCAGGTTATACCGCTGGCGATGATGGCCCATTTCATGGTGAAGGGCAGCATGGTGTACACCACAAACACAATGAACAGAAAGAACGACACCTGGAAGCAGAAAGTAACAAAATGAACAGGTGATGAATCAAACAGTTTGGTAATTATGGCTTAGCCTTTAGCTAATGTTTCTCATGCTTTTATATACTTAGAGGTTACCATATTCCAGAGCTTTAATGTGGCAAATAAATGTAAAAAAATTGTGAATACGAGACATTTATTCTCCGTCGTGCCTGCCGCTAGCATGTTCTTGTGTTAAATCAAAAATAATCCCCTTATTGTTTCGTTTCCAACTTTGAATTCCCCCTCTGGAGGTTAGGAAAAATCCACAGAAAGCTGCACCGTCTTATAAGCTGCATGGTTCAAAGTGTTGGAAAAAAGTAGCAGCTTATACTCCGAAATACACAGTAATTTTACTGGTATCTCCTGATGAATTATTTCAGCGAGTTGTGGTGAATTAAGTTGTATATGAAACCTATTTCTGTTCAGACCACATTTGTAACCTTGTTGACTTGTCAGGTTTTATCATTGATAAAAAAAATTTTTTAAAAGATTTCTCGATTTTGATCTTAGAGGTGGAAAATATGGAGTTTATTATAGGGCTATCTGCCCATCGGGGGAGCAATGAATCTGAATCAGCTCCACTGGCCAAGTTTTTCACATAAAGAGATCAAATTTGCTCTCAGTGAAAACCTTTCAAATAAAAGTATAAAAAAGGAAATAGAAGTTGCTTAGTAAATATGTGAATAAAAATGTTTTTAGAAAAGAGGAAGGCATGGTTGGATGGATGATTGCCTTCAACTGTTAGGTGTTCATCAGATTGCCAAACTAGGGGAAGTTTCTCTGGTGAAGCTGGATTTCCTAAATAGCGTCTGTAGCTCCGCTCTAAAGGAAAAAGTCTCCAGGAAGGTGTGATCTGCAGATGGTTTAGATTACTTTTTCCTGACGCTAAACCCGTACAAGCCCTGATGATCCTGCCTGATCTGCTGGAGAAAAACATATTTTATTTTATTTTATTTTATCCAATTTCTATTTCTATTATTTTCTCCATGTTAGTCAGCGTTCAATTGTCCCCTTAATACAAAAATATCATATTTCTTTGCATTCTTCATATTCACATTTATTTGCAAGTTGACAGACCAGTCGTTTGGTAATCCTTCTGAACCCGGACCCTCTCAGCTGGCCTTTAAAGACTCTTCTCTCTGTCTGCTGCTGGGGTGAGAGCATACATGATCACCAGCCTAAGTGCACTCAGGGTGAGTGAATCCATGAAATAGTCTGAAGCTCCCAGAGAGGGCAGGTGGTCCATGATTTTTATAGCGCTGACTCACTGTCCTGAAAAGACATCTTTCTAATGTGTAAGGAGGTAAATGTGTTTGAAAACCCAGTTTCCTCTGCTGCTAAGCCAATTAAGAGCAATTTGACACTTTTTTTAGTCAAATGTACTGGTGAAAAACCCTGCTGATTGTTTATTTGCAAGCTCATTTTTCCGTCTCATTTTTAAGATTAGGCACACTAACGGCAGACAAAATGGTAGCAGTGCAAAACATTGATTGTAAAAGTTGGGGTCGTGACCCCATTTGGAGTCCTTGAACAACCAGTAGGAGGTCTATTTGATCCACCACTGAATTACATTACAAAATAAATATGTTTTAGTGCTCAAAGGTTATTTAAAAATGGCTTTGATTGTTGATCCATCCGTCCATTTTCCTTCACGCTTATCCCACCTGGGGTCGCGGTAGGGCCAGTGCCTGTCTCCAGCTGTCATTGGGCGAAAGACTGGGTCCACCCTGGACAGGTCGCCTGTCCATCTCAGGGCTACACAAAGACAAACAGGACAGACAACCATTCACGCATACTCTCACACCTAACAAAAATGTAGAAAAGCTAATTAACCTAACAGTCGTGTTTTCGGACGATGGGAGGAAGCCAGAGTACCCGGAGAGAACCCACACATGCACAGGGAGAACATGCAAACTCCATGCAGAAAAACCCTGCGCCAATAGTACACTGCCAATAGTTTGGGCCATTAGTCACCATTTTTTGGAAGCTCCGGTTATAAAGATGACCAGCTGCTCTGGTGGAACGTGTACTTCTTAGGTTACTACAGGACGTACAATCTGTCTCTGCTGGGTTTTCTCCAGATCAGTTTCTGTTTGAGGACCAACTCAGCTCCAGAGAGATTGATTAACTCTCTTAGGTAGTGTTAATCACTATTTGGAACCAATAGCTTGTATTGGTTAAAAAGTAGAGGGAGAAAAGCATTTTTGGCACTTAATAAAAAATAAGAAGTGCTGACAAATAGGAGCCGAATGACACAAAGAGTACGGCAAGTTAACTTGTAGCAGGTGTTGTTTCTAACCTTTTTTTTCCGGGGGGGTTTGTATGACAGTAGGCTGACAGGAAAGGGGGTATGACAGTGAGAAAAAGATGCACAAAGGACCACAGGTCAAATTCAAACCCAGGTCGGCCGCATCAAGGACTAAGGCCTCTGTACACGGTTCATGTGCGCTAACCACTGCGCCACCAAAGCACACCCTTCATCATTTCCAGCCTTAACAGTTTAGTTGTTTTTTTAATAATCTTGATTATATTTTTTTTCATCTATTGTTCATTGCAAACAACCATTCAGACCTTCCTGAACTAAAACAAAAAAACAAAACAAAAAAAACCTAAGTCTGGGAATAGCTATTTTTATTCATTAGTGAAACACGATCTTTTGACAACAATTTTAAATGCCCTGTTGACGAAATTACTCTGCACAGGTTACAGATTAATGAAGCCATTTTTCTCAAATTTACATACTCCAGTAATGAGGTATCCAACACATTTTCTCATACTGAAACCTTTATACTTTCTGTAAAAAAAAGATTCTCAGTTTTCACTCTCATAACCCAAATAATATGTACTATCTCATCAGCGTGCCCCATCTAACATAACTCCCCTAAAAGGTGTTGAAGGGAGCATAAACATAACAGCCAGCTCTGAATATCACTCTCAAGCTGAAACACTAAAAGGGTTTTATGCCGTAACGAAGCCAAAGTGGCTGCATATCGATTGTGCAAGAGAGTCAGATCACTAATCTAAATAATTCTCAGGCAGTAAAAACTTTAAATGTTATTTTTCTCCTAAATTTGCTGCAACTTTTCTCCACTTACAGGGGGGAGAAAGGGGGCTCTAGTTAAGAGCGTTATCCACAAACTGTGAGCGATGCTTGTAATTACAACACTAGCTCCACAATAGAGTTTTTGAAAACAAGCAAATGAATGCCAGCAAACATCTAGATTATGCATATTATTCTGATGTTTTCCTAAATAGAGCACAGCTGTGTGGGCAGAAAATCTCTTCCACAGAAATACATCCAAGACTAAAACGCCAAGCCTGATATACACTATATTGCCAAAAGTATTTGCTCACCTGCCTTGACTCACATATGAGCTTAAGTGACATCCCGTTCCTAATCCATAGGGTTCAATATGACGTCGGTCCACCCTTTGCAGCTAGAACAGCTTCAACTCTTCTGGGAAGGCTGTCCACAAGGTTTAGGAGTGTGTTTATGGGAATTTTTGACCATTCTTCCAGAAGCGCATTTGTGAGGTCGCACACTGATGTTGGACGAGAAGGCCTGGCTCTCAGTCTCCGCTCTAATTCATCCCAAAGGTGTTCTATCGGGTTGAGGTCAGGACTCTGTGCAGGCCAGTCAAGTTCATCCACACCAGACTCTGTCATCCATGTCTTTATGGACCTTGCTTTGTGCACTGGTGCACAGTCATGTTGGAAGAGGAAGGGGCCAGCTCCAAACTGTTCCCACAAAGTTGGGAGCATGGAATTGTCCAAAATGTCTTGGTATGCTGAAGCATTCAGAGTTCCTTTCACTGGAACTAAGGGGCCAAGCCCAGCTCCTGAAAAACAACCCCACACCATAATCCCCCCTCCACCAAACTTTACACTTGGCACAATGCAGTCAGACAAGTACCGTTCTCCTGGCAACCGCCAAACCCAGACCCGTCCATCAGATTGCCAGATGGAGAAGCGCGATTCGTCACTCCAGAGAACGCGTCTCCACTGCTCTAGAGTCCAGTGGCGGCGTGCTTTACACCACCGCATCCGACGCTTTGCATTGCACTTGGTGATGTATGGCTTGGATGCAGCTGCTCGACCATGGAAACCCATTCCATGAAGCTCTCTGCGCACTGTTCTTGAGCTAATCTGAAGGCCACATGAAGTTTGGAGGTCTGTAGTGATTGACTCTGCAGAAAGTTGGCGACCTCTTCGCACTATGCGCTTCAGCATCCGCTGACCCCGCTCCGTCAGTTTACGTGGCCTACCACTTCGTGGCTGAGTTGCTGTCGTTCCCAAACACTTCCATTTTCTTATAATACAGCTGACAGTTGACTGTGGAATATTTAGGAGCGAGGAAATTTCACGACTGGATTTGTTGCACAGGTGGCATCCTATCACAGTTCCACGCTGGAATTCACTGAGCTCCTGAGAGCGACCCATTCTTTCACAAATGTTTGTAAAAACAGTCTGCATGCCTAGGTGCTTGAATTTATACACCTGTGGCCATGGAAGTGATTGGAACACCTGATTCCAATAATTTGGATGGGTGAGCAAATACTTTTGGCAATATAGTGTAACTTAGTTGAGCTGAGTGGGCTGCTTACACAGTTCTCGTTTGACATTTGAAACGCTGCTTAAACCAAAACATATTATACAAAACACCGACGTGGTTAAATGCATCTCGAATATCTCTCTGAAAGTGCAAACGTTATGTTTGGGATTAAAGTTCAACCCCGTATCATAACCTAATAGCTCTGTCCCAGTCCACTTCACTGGGATGCTCTTCCTGTTGTAGCGGCGACACACAAGATGAACTGTGACCTTCCTGCAGGCTTTAGGTTCATAGAGTCGCTGTGCAGAGTCAGACATATTCGTATGGGTAAATAAACTGACAGTTGCTAGATCTTAACATGACTTAGAGGTCATAACCCTTTTTGAAAGAATACAAAAAGAATATCTTAGAGATCTCAAAACTCATATCTGAGGCA